GCGCCCCAACCCCCTGATCGGTCCTGCTCTGTGGATGATAAAGGGTGGCGCTCCAACCCCCCTCCACGAGCCTTGCTCTGTGTGTGACGGGGGAGAGGCATAACCTCTCCATCGGCCCTGCCCCGAGTGTGACAGTGGTGGCGCCCCAACCCCCCTGATGGGCCCTGCTCTGTGAGTGACAGGGGGCAGCGCCCCAACCCCCTGATGGGCCGTGCTCTGTGAGTGACAGGGGCAGCACCCCAACACCCTGATTGGCCCTGCTCTGTGCGTGACAGGGGGTGGCGCTGCAACCTCCCCATCGACCCTGCCTTGAGTGTGACAGGGGGCGGTGCCCCAACCCCCCAAACGGCCCTACCCTGAGCGTGACTGGGGGTGGCATTGCAACCTCCCGATCCGCCCTGCTCTGTGCATGACGGGGCGGCGCCCCAACTCCCCAATCGGCCCTGCTCTGAGCCTGACCAGGGGCTGCACTTAGGGATTGGGCCTGCCCTCTGCCACCCGGGAGCAGGCCTAAGCCAGCAGGTCGTTATCTCCCGAGGGGTCCCAGACTGTGAGAGGGCACAGGCCGGGCTGGGGGACCCCCCCTCCCCCGCCCCCCGAGTGCACAAATTTTTGTGCACCGGGCCTCTAGTCATATTATAAACAAACTGAGACTAAAGCTGGGTAGGTACAATTTTTTAGAGAAAGGAATCAGTTAGATTCTGCCATTCTTCTATACCCTGATCTGAATTTCTTGTTTATTATTATTTACGCAAATATTTTACAATATGGATTCCTTACCTTTTTTCAAAGTGACCAATACTTAAAATTTAGAACAAATGTTCATATTTGCAGAAGTGTTCCTATTATTCCTCCTTTGGCCTGTTCATGACCCTCAGCCACAAGCCTCCAAAGAGTTTTGATCAAGGTCGTACAGAATCACTAACTCAGGAGGGGGCTGTTGTAAATAAAATAGTTGCTTTGCTACTTAGCTAACTCAGCTCTCCAGAACTTCTATCTGGATCTGTTTAGTCTTCTTACCCAACAGTTTTGTGTGTCTCCATAAGAATGGTCCCATTTGGTCCTGGAACAGGCATGGAATTGTAGCGAATGCTGACTTGTGACTTGCGTAGCAGGCTCTCTCGGGCTATCTTGATGTTTAGTCTTCTTACCCAACAGTTTTGTGTGTCTCCATAAGAATGGTCCCATTTGGTCCTGGAACAGGCATGGAATTGTAGCGAATGCTGACTTGTGACTTGCGTAGCAGGCTCTCTCGGGCTATCTTGAGTCCTTCATAGAACATTGCTAGTAAAAACACTCCCACAAAAGCTCCAGCCATTTCTAAGCAGGGAAAGAAAAGATGGTGGTACTGTCAAATATTGCAAAATCATTAGCTGGCATGCTATCCAAGCTAGAAAGACAACATAGAAAAGATGCTACTCTTAATTCTGAATACATTATGCAAAAGGGGAAT